ATCAACAAACCGGGCATCGGTGAGTTGAATTGGACTGGTGTGGCCGTTTTTAATCAGACAAACCTTTGGAACGACTAGGAGCGACAAATTCAAGAGGATGGAGTCACATTCACAACTCAAATGGACATTTCCAGATCTACCTTGAAGTACAATCCTACCTGTGATAGCATAATACCAGTAAATACAACTATTATTCAACCATTATAGGCAGGGGTGAAGAAATCAAAGCATTCTACCAGCCTGTTCAGTCTGAAATTGCTCAAGCATTCAATCAAACTGCACTGACAACTACTGATGAATGGAATGTGTACATTGGAATCAATGAGGAAGGAGCAATAGTTGGAAACGATGGCGTTGATGATGAAATGATGCCTGAATGCTCCTTAGAAGTGAGGAGAGAAAGACTCTTCCCACGTACTTTGGACATGTCACTGAGAGAGACCGGTCCCTGAAAAAGGCTATCGTGCTTGATAAATTAGAGGGTCAGCCAGAAAGAGGCGTGCCCTGAAGGAGATGGATGGACACAGTGGCTACAATATGGTTTCAAACACCCTGGCAGTTGTGTGGGTGACCCAGGGCCTGCAGGGTCTCCTTCTGTTGTGCACAGGGCTGCTGCAAGTTGGAGCCAATGCTGTGGCACCGGAGAGCAAGAGCAGCATCTTAAGGGAGTAAGCGTAGCACATTGTGCACAGAGACTCATAAAATATGCAATACTCTTTCATGTAAATTCCAGAGAGTCCATTGATTCTCACAAAATGCTTTCATCAATTTTTGCCAAAACTCATACCTGTAGATAACCTAAGGCTGAAATTGAGGAATGAGTGTAGTTTCAAAATGTGCTCATTTACATTAACTAGACAAAAGTGAAACAACAAACTCGTCTCCTTTGCTGAATCTAATGGTATTTTGTAAGTATTAAAAGGATACTCAGTTTTTATCCTATTTACAGTGTAGTGACTTGTAGATATGTTGTTGTTGGTTGAGTCAGTTCTGACCCATAGTGACCCGGAGCCAATGTATAACAGCATAGAACACTACTTAGTCCTGCACCGTCCTCACCCTTGTTCTTATTTGGTGTCCACTGTTGCAGCTGCTGTGGCAATCCATTGTGTTGAGGGCCTTCCTCTTCTTCACTGCTGCCCCTCTCCTTGACCAAGCATGGTGTCCTTCTCCAGGGACTGGTCTCTCTTGATAACATGTCCAAAGTGCATGAGACTAAGTCTAGCCATCCTTGCCTCTAAGGAGCATTCTGGCTGCACTTCGTCTAAGACAGGATTGCTGTTTTTTTTGACAGTCCATGGTATTTTCAATGTTCTTTGTTAGCACCATAATTCAAATGCCTTGATTCTTATTCGGTCTGCCTTATTCGATGTCCAACTTTCACATGCATATGAGGTAAGGCCATGGCTGAGATCAGGTACACCTTAGTTCTCAAAGTAACAACCTTACTTTTCAACACTTTGAAGAGGTCTTGTGCAGTAGATTTACCAATGAAATGTGTCCTTTGATCTGCTACACAGGACCTGATTGCTGCTTCTGTGAGCATTGATTGGAGACCTAAGCAAGACTTATTCCTTGACAACTTCAATCTTTTCTCCATTTATCATGATGTTAAATATTAGTCCAAATGCGAGGATTTGGGTTTTCTTTACATAGAGTTGCTTGATCATTAGCAAGTGCTTCAATCCTCCTCACTTTCAGCAAGGACGATCATGTCATCTGCATGTTGCTAATAACCCACAGGGTTAATAAGCCTTCCTATCATCCCAATGCAGCACTCGTCTTCCTATAATCCCGTTTCTCTAATGATCTGCTCAGAATCTAGATTGAATAAGTATGGTGAGCAGCTACAACCTGACACACCCCTTTCTTGATTGTAAACCCTGCAGTGTCCCCTTGTTCTGTTTGATCCATGGCCAAGTTTCACATGAGTGAAATGAAGTATTCTTGAACTGAAAAGGGAGACCATGCTCCACATATCTTAAACTAAAAGATCTACAAAAAAAAAATCCAAGCCTCACGTTGCATCTTGAAAGACTTTACGGTCAAAATATTGAACGATGCAGGAAGCATCAAAAGAAGATCAAATAAATGCAAAATCACTGTCCAAAAGGGACCAGTTGACATTCAGCCATTTCCAGAGATACCAGATGAGCAAGAACTAAGGATACTGAAGGAAAAAGTTCAAGCTGTACTGACAGCATTCGCCCAAAACAAAACTCCAGGAATTGAAGGAATATCAATTGAAACGTTTGTTTCAACAAGTTAATGGAGCACTGAGAGCACTCACTGGCCTCTGCCAGGAAATTTGGAAGAAAGTTACTTGGCCATGGGACTGGGATGTACCCATTCCAGAGAAAGGCGACCCAACGGAATGCTCGGATTACAGAATAATAAATATCATTCATATCACATGCAAGTAAAATGCTGCTAACGATCACCCAACAACAATTGCAGCAAAACTCTGACAGAGAGCCGCCAGAAATTCAGGCAGAATTCAGAATAGGGTGTGGACCAAGTGATATCATTGCTGACTTTTAAATTTAACTTGCGTTATGAATTCCTTTTCTTCGTCGCTCTCTCAATTCTAAGAAATCAACAGACGGAGCCCTGATTTGCAGTTGCTTCTTATTTCAGGATATAAATTCTTGCTGTACTGGTTCATTCCAAGCTACCAAAGAGAAGTCGGTCAGTTGCTAGGGTCCTGGAAAGAGATTCATGGCTCTCTTTCATCAGTATTTTCAAAACGGAGATGCAATAGACAATAAGTCATTCCAAGCACACAGAAAATAGCAAGGGATAGAAAACATTAGGAACTTGGTAGTTTTGAGCATTTAGTGCCCATACAAGAATTTTAGGTCTATAAGGAGGTATCACACATCCCTTGAGAAAAGAAATAATCAGCAATGCTGGAATAATTGGTTAGTTACTCAGTCCACATTTCTGATGACAAACCAGACAAGAAAAAATTAATATAAGCAAAACAGAAACAAATAAGTAAATGTATATCCATGACTAGAAGGAGGAAGACTTTCTGCGTTGTCCCAAGTACCAGAGGCAATTTCAAAGGAAAGGCGTGACAGAGCTGACTCAATCAAACGGGAAAGTCAGTGAGCTGGATAAGCTGGCATCCTTGTAGGGTCTCAAGTAAGATAAAATAATCAAATAAAAAGGCATGTTCCAGGAAAGCATTCATCCTTTCACAAAGGTTTGAGAAATATTTTCCCAAGGTCAAATTTTAATGTTCCACAATATGACAAAACACTTTTCCTCACTAGTCTGTCCTTAGTGAAAACAGAGAATAAATAAATGGAGAAGTGCTGTGATCCATTTGAATATAGCGGCAGCTCTAGGGGCTGTCTCATATCCAGGATTCTACTCCAAGAAAACTGATAGGAAGCAGTATTTTTGTTGGATCAGTTAGTCTCGAACCAGAAAACAACTAATATCAGATTCCCTATAGGTGGCGGAAGCACCAACAGGTAAATGGGGCCCAACAACTAGAAACCTGGGGTGGGGTGGGGGGTGCAGCACACAAAGTGTAGGCAGCTCTTCTGTTGCAACAAGGTCCCAGACTGGGTGACAGACTCTAATGTCTAGGAAGCGTGATCAGAAAGAAGCAAGCAAGGCCCAGCTCCACTCCAGTGACCGGGCACATTGCTACCAGAGTGACACGACTTGTAGGCTAAGGAAGAAGCCCAGTTATTCAAACTTGGTCCATCAAGCAGGAAGAAGGAGGCACTAGCCGGGACTTGGGGTCAGGAGTCCTGTTAGCGGTTTCCTAGTAGGGAGATGCCAGGGAAGGGGACACGGCCTTTGGGGAGTTCTAGAGCAAACCTGAAACCTTCCTCAGTGGGTCAACCAGTTTCCACTGAAATATTAGTGGTGGTTCTAATTTAATAGTCTTTTGTTGTTGTTCTCGTTCTTTAAACTATTTTAAAATCATTTTATTGGGGGGGCTCAAACAACTCTTATCACAATCCATGCATCCATGCATTGTGTCAAGAACATTTGTACACTTGTTGCCATCATCATTTTGAAAACATTTTCTTTCTACTTGAGCCCTTAGTATCAGCTCCTCATTTTCCCCCTCCCTTTCCACTTCCCCCTCCCTCAAGAACCCTTAATAATTTTTTTTTCCCATGTCTTAAACTGACCGATGTCTCCCTTCACCCACTTTTTTGTTGTCCATCCCCCAGGGAGGGGGCTATATGTAGATCATTGTGATTGGTTTTCCCTTTCTCCCCCACCTTCCCTTTCCTCTCCTGGTATCGCCACTCTCACCACTGGTCCTGAAGGGATCATCCATCCTGGATTCCCTGTGTTTCCAGTTCCTATCTGTACCAGTGTACATACTCTGGTCTAGCCGGATTTGTAAGGCAGAATTGGGATCATGATAGTGGGGGACATGAAGCATTAATGAACTAGAGGAAAGTTGCATGTTTCATCGGTGCTATACTGCACTCTGACTGGCTTGTCTACTCTCCTCAACCCTTCTGTAAGGGGGTGTCCAGTTACCTACAGATAGGCTTTGGGTCTCTATTCCACACTCTCCCTCATTCACAACGATATGATTTTTTCGGTCTTTTATGCCTGATACCTGATCCTATTGACCTTCATGATCACACAGGCTGCTGTGCTTCTTCCATGTGGGCTTTGTTGCTTCTGAGCTAGTGGCTGCTTGTTTATCTTCAAGCCTTTAAGACCCCAGACAATATATCTTTTGATAGCTGGGCACCACATTTGCTTATGCACCCACTTCGTAGTAATTTTAGTAGTTTTATGGGGAAAAGGCATCCCAATCTACTGCTGTGAAAACTAGAGGCAAGAAAACCCTAAGGAGCAGTTTTACTTTGTAACACAAGGAGCCACCAGAAGTCAGGATCAACTCAATGAAACAGATCGGTAAAGTCTTGTCTATCAGTTTGATTTTTTAAAGAGTGAGCCAGAGCCTAGAGGCACAAAATAATCTCAGCGTAATTCAAGTAAGCCAGTATTACCTTGGCAGGAGTCGCATGGTCCTGTTGGTGATGCCTGTGTTAGAGAGATTGAGATACAGGATGCCAGGGCAGCCCTCTGAGATGTGCTTCATGGATTCATCCTACATAAAAAATAAGGTGAAGAATATTACCGAAGTCTAATGGACTTTGTATCATTTCATCAACACCTCTCTTCTGCCTGCCCCCCTACACCTTGTGCAAACATATATGTAAGGGTTGCTCTCTCTTCATAGTCTCGTCATTTATATACATATATAACAATTCTATTGTAAATTAGGTGGGGTTTACATTTCTGATTATCTACTTTGTACTCAATCGTTTAAACTACTCATCAATCACCCCAATGGTTTACTCTTCACCCGCTCCTTGATTTTGATTTTTTTTTCTTTCTCTTGTGAGCTACTACCTTCCTGTTCACCCCAGTCCATAGTCTAGTGCACTGCCATCTTCCTTCCTTTACCCTCTTCCCCTCGGAAGCCTTCAAAGTCTGTTCCGTTTGGTGTGAAAGGCTTTATCTTGCTTTCCCCCTTCGTTACAGTGGTCTCATATAATACTTGTCCTTTTGTGATTGTCTGATTTCACTCAGCATAATGTCACTCTAGGTCCACCCGTGCCATGAGGTGCTTAATAGTTTCATCATTTTGTTAGCAATGCAGTGTTCCATTGTGTGTGTACCAGATCTTCTTTATCCATCCTTCAACTGATAGGCATTCAGGTTGTTTCCATCTTCTTGCTATTGTGAGCAGTGCTGCAATGAATATGGGGCTTTAAGGTCTTGTATTTAATTGTAAATCAAATCAGATAAAGGCCACCGTTTTTGCTTGAAATGTCAATTACCCCCTTTCTCTTTCTGTGTAAACAAATTGTCCTCGGTCCATCACTGTTAAACTTTGTTACACTTTGAACCTTTGCGAGATCAACTCTTTAACAGGAACTTTGGGCTCGAGTGTCAAAATGACACCCACAAATGCATGAAAGAGATTTAAACTGATCCATTTTTAAAGTTACTAAAATCATCCCAAAGGACAGAAACAATTGGGCTTCCTAAAAAATTCATCACAAATACTCCTACAGAGACATAGAGCTGACCCCTGAACAGCACAAGTTTGTGTGACGCAGGTCGCTGATAGGCAGATTCTTTGTTAAATGCCACGTGAGCTCCTCATCATGAGCAGTTTATCTCAACAGTGCATTTCTTGTCACAGCAAAAAGTGCTATCTTCCTGTTCTTGGGAAGTTTCCATGCTGCGTCATGAAATGCTGTCAACCTGGAATAACACCACGAGACTTACAGGACGTGCAACCAGTGACGCTGGAAGAGCTCCCAAGAAGCAAAGTCATGGCATGACAAAACAAACAAACTAACTAACAAAAACGTGGAATTGCTTGCTATGCATTGTAGATGGGGTCTGCAGAGGTTCTTGCCCACCATTTCAAGAGCAATGAATTCAGGCGAAGACCATTGTAAACAAAGAAAAAGGAATGTGCGAGGCCCTTGTCATAGCTGTCAGCCAGATGTGAAAAATCTTGGATATTTTTTTTCCAAAATACACTTTAGCTCATATTGAAATGTAGCTTTTGTGTGGATGTGGTATTATAATATGAGGGGGCTTCAAAAAGTTTGTGGAGAAATGGAATTGAAAGATGATGAAATTCTTCCCTGAACTTTTTGAAGTGCCCTTACACATGGAACATACAATCTACTATGCAAATGCATGTTCATTGAGGCATTATCCGCAGTAGCAAAAAGATGGAGATATCCTCACTGCCCATCATTGGAAGAATGAATAAATACACTGTGGGGTACCCATACAGGGGATGTATTATGGCACATTAAATAATGATGAATCTATGAAAAACCTCATACTGTGGATGAAGGTGAAGGAAGCTATGCTGGGTGAAATTAGTCAATAACAAAAGGACAAGTATTGCAGGAGACCATTAGTATAAAATGTGAGAAAAAATTCATACAGAAAGAAACGTTCTTTGATGCTTACCAGAGGTGAAGGGTTAGGGAGGGAAGAGAAGACATGGGCTAGAGAGTAGAAGCAAGTTCACTTGGGTGAAGGGGGAGGCAATATACAATCAGGGGCACATTGGCAAAAAAAAACAAAAACTGATGGAGGCTGGGTGAGACTTTAGGAGGTCTGCAAGAGTGAAGGCAGCAGAGGCAAGCACTGTTATAGACACAGGTCTGCAGCATGCTGATCTAGGAGTAGATACTTCGATAGACACCCAGCCAGACAGGCGTGGGAGAGAGAGTGGCAGTATACCCATGAAGATATAGAGACTTCACAGAAGAGATGCATCTTTTGTTGCAAAAAAATCCATGAATGTGGTGGAGCGTATCTCGGGCCAAGTTATGAAAATGTCTTAGACATAGCTAATATTTTGAGGAATGAGTCACTGGGTCTGGAGGGACAGGACTCTAGGCTCAGAGAATGCCAAGGTCTGCTGGCATACTATAATTTATAAAGACAACGTTCTACCATTTTACGGTGGTGAGTAGTGGCTGGTGTCTTAAGAGCTTGTGAGCAGCTTTCAAAGGTGCAATTCTGGGCCTCTGCCCACTCAGAGGAAAGAAGAGGAAAGAAAGGCAAAGGCATATGGAAACAGTGCAGTGGACTGTGGACCATGCACACACCAGTAAGGCTTCCAGACAATTAGTAGTTAAATTTTAGAGGAATCAAAAGTTATATTTGGATTTTCAACAGTGCCTCTAACTCCTACATCATTCGAGGGTTACCTATATATATATGTGAGTATTTATATGTATGCCTGTATATACAGTATATGTGTATGTGTGTGTGCATTTATGTCCTCGTATGTATACACACACATTCATATATGTCAAGTTTGCTGATCAAGTATCACAGAGGTTGTGCACATGTTGAAAGACTCAGGGAAATGAAAATAAGAAGAGGCACGGAGAGGAAGTTGGTCGATGTGCCTTTAGGTTACTGTACAGAAATATAAACCAGGGCTTCAAACCTGCTCTGCCCAGTTCAGTGCTGGCCAACCAAGCGAAACCAGAACTGACCAAAAAAATTTTTTTAATTTTTTTTTTTTAAGAATGTTACTTGTGCCAGTCAGAATCTGATACCAATTAAATGGTTACAGCTTTGCCAATAAACAAGCATATACTCTTCCATGGCTAGGAAGGGAGACTGCCACAGCCGACAGGTCCCAAAGATACATGGACCTGACCAAAATTTATAAAATGCCAATGTACCAGAATAACGGGAATGGGAAAAAATATGGGTTGATGCCTTGCAAAAAGCTTAATCTCCATCTTAGAAAATAAAGACTGAAAAGCAATTTAACTATGGAAGTTTGTGATATGTGAATATCAAGAAAACTACTAAAAATTTTTAAAAAAAGAAAGAAAAGAAATCAAACTTGACCGATGATAACCGTGGGCAAAAGAGAAAGAATTGTTGCTTAGGGGACACTGAGTTTACATTAATGGTGGTGGAATAATTTGAAAAAGGCTATCAATAATGGTTGTACAACATGAAGAGTCTAATCAATGGCCCTGAATGATACATACAGAAGTTGTGGAGTTGTAGAATGTCTTGTTGTGCATATATTTGCCACAATTAGAAAAAAAATAATAACTACCTGAATAACAATGAGTACAAGGAAGACTAAAATGTTCTAGAATTGAATGTGGTGCTAATTGTACAATTATTCTCTATATTACTGAATGATTGAATTGTATGGCATGTAGTTAAAGTGCTAATAATACTGCTGAAAAAAGAAGGACTGCATTCACAAGGCCTACCAACCACCTCTCTCCACAGGCAGGGTCCATTGCCTGTGGACCTAAAGACGGTGGCAGACCAAGTGGCTTTCATTGCGTGTTGCTCTCCACAGTCCTGATGTAATCCACGCTCCCAAATCAGGCTTCTGTCAGGAGCCTCCTGGAAGTTCTTATGTGTGTGTGCGGATCAGAGCAATCATCCGGGGCATCTTCCTGTGTGGAAGATCCTGGACCCTCAGAGGAGATTAGGTTACTCACGTTCTCAGTCGTTAAAAGAATTAAAACTCAATCCCCAAATGTTTGGCCCCATGAATGCACAATTAAGTCTTTTGATGTTGTAGCATGGTCTATTAATTTGTCCACAACGCGCTTGAATTGCTCCGAATAGAATACATTTCATAAGTTAGGTTTCTTAGAAACGAAGGCTTTTAAAGTGAATGTTATCCAACTACTGAAATGTAAGTCTGTCCCCCAGTCTCCGTCTCAGGCAGAAAAAACAACAATAAAATGTAGCTGGATAAAATTATCAGCCTTTATATTATTAGACTCTGGAGCTGGAAAAGACTTTGATGTTCCCAAACACAAGGCAGGTGGCATTGCTTTGCATTTCCTCTTAGAACGCCAGCGTTAAAGACGATCCTCTTCTCCCAAGTCGCGAACTGAAGCTCCCTGAGGGCAGGAACTAAAAATGCAATCATTTTAAATTCCCTACCACCCGAATACAACCTATCTCTAGCAGAGTAGGTGCTAACAACAACAATAAGTGCACAGACACAGTGACTACATCTGGCCGGCCAGCTCGGTCTCCACAGGCAGACAACGTGGCAGCAGAGATTCTAAATGTCTCTTAGGAAGAAGCCTGTCTCGCTTTCCCGAAGAAGACAGCGGAGGACAGTCAGAGTACGCCGAGCCTTTACTATCTGGTATTAAGCGCTGGGTTGCGAACCACAGGGCTGGCTGTTGAAACGCATGAGCTGAGAGGAAAAGATGAACCCAGCGGGTCCCATAAAGTTTCACAGTGCCAGCAGCCCTGTGGGACAGTTCGATTCTGTCCTGTAGTCACGAATGAGTCCGAATCGAGTCGACAGCAGTGGGTTCGGGGTTGGTTTGCCTCTGAAGTGATCTTTTGCATGTTGTGCTCCCATTCTGAGAGCACGTTTAAAGGTAAAGAATCGGGCTTTTTCTATATGACACACAGAGACACTTAGTTTCCATCATCGTCTAGAGCAGTCCCTGGGGGGCGGGGGTCAAACAGTGAATTTAAATGCTTAGTTTGTGTCTTGGAATAGTCTGAGGGCTCTAAAAATTTTACTTCTACCCTCTATTTATTTATATCATGTGTTCCATCTCTTGAAATTTCCTGGGAAAATTGAGAAAGAAGGTTTTCAAAGAGCTCTCAGTCTAGAAGGGTTTATACACACACACACACACACACACACACACACATATGAATAAAAAGTATAAATGCTGAAGACCACAGATGTAGATCAGGAAAGGGAAAAATGTTAATGGAATTTCATGGGGCTGAAGGATTGGGGGCTGTGTGTGTGGTGAGAGAGAGGGGGCAGTGACCAGGACCACTGGCTATAGGCACAGAGCTTCTTTTGGAGGTGGTGAAAATATTCGTAAATTGTTTGTGATGATGGTGGCACAACCCTGAGTCTACTAAAAATGTTGGGTTGTATACTTTCAATGAGTGAATTGTATGGTATGGATAGCATGCCGCAGTGTTTTTATGTGTGTGCTGGAGTCGATTACAACTCCTGGCGACTCCACAGGAGTGAGTCCTGTTGCCTGATAAGCCCTCGGTTGTGTGGAATCCTCACAAGACAGATCGCCAGGCCTTCTCTCGTGTGCAGCAGCTGGCAGCTTCAAACCACCAGGTACCAGCTGAGCTCTGGACCCGTGTGTCACTTGTGTCAAGAGAATTAACCAGGTGGAGATGAGGGATGGGAGAGGCAGAGAAGGGTGGTTATTCTAGGAATTCAGAAAAACAAATTCAAGAACACAGCTAAGCAGCATGACCTGTTTGGGGGGGCTTAAGTGGCTCAGTGTTTAAATTGAATGGAAATTTGAAATAAATGACTATGAAGCTGAGGCTAAAACATAGTCACCGCAAGGAACTACTCACGAAGTGCTCTGTGCTTTACCGTCACCTTGGAGTGGTTGGTTAAGGAGGAGCATGACAGAGTCAGGCTCACCGTTCCCTTCCTTCCCATCTCCTCAGAGACTTGCTCCATCACTTATCACCTCATCCAAGTGTGTCTTTTTTTAAAAAAAGGTTTTTTAAAAGCCATTCAATGGATTCTGATTCATAGTGATGCTAAAGGACAGAGTAGAACTGCCCCCATTGGGTTGTCAAGGTTGTAAATCTTCATGGAAGTAGACTATGCATCTTTCTCCCGTGGAGCAGCTAGTGAGTGCCAACTGCCCAAAGCTTAGTCAACTTGACCACCAGGACTCCCACGGTATCTCCATCAGCCCCCACATCGAGTCCTACTTTCCCTACCCTTATATTCCTCCTATCTCTTTCTTAGCCACATTTCTGGAAAGATCTTTTTCATGCTCATTGTCAAACTTTCTCACTGCTCCTCTGCTCAACTCCCTACAATGATGAGAGTTCTGCCTCCAAATCCCACTGAAACATTTCTGGCAAACATCCTCTCTCAGCTTCTTATTCTCAAATCCAAAAGGCGCCATTCAGCTCCTCTCTTACCTCTTCGCCTTCAGTTCTTTCTAAAACTCGCTTCCTTGCCTTCTGTGGTACTCCTCAGTTCTCAACCTACTCTCTGACTCTCCCTTTCTAAGAGCGTTGGCTATGGCTCCTTCTTCTGCTTGCTCCTACACTCAGTGGCTTCCTAGATTCCATCCCGAATTCTCTTCTCTTCTCACACTTTCGCTCTTGGTTGATTTTAAGTACTTGTAATATCAATTTATGAGTTAAACATAAAAATGGACCCAAATGGGACCTCATGCTCAGGTCATTGTTGCTCCTTCCCTAGGAGGCCTCTTCCTTTCGTTTCATTCATTAAGCAACATTATGAAGCATGTGCTATGTACCAACCCTGTATGAACGATATAACTACCAGAAAGAATCAGACACGACTGCACAACCGCTGCCTTTTGAGTCCCTTAGATAAGGGGACTGGGGTGGGGACGTACAGAAAGAAGGTAGAAATTCTGTGGTTTGGGCTACTCATTATGGGAACCCACAGGAGCAGTGATGAATCTTGCTTTGGAAGTCAGTGCATCTTCATAAAGGAGGTGATGCCTATAGCAAGCCTTACAGCATTACAAGAAGTTATTCTTTTGAGGAAGAAGGAAAAAATGGATTCTCAGAAAAGAGCCCACAACAAGAAAGGGCAAAACCACAAGGAGCAGCTTGGTGGAGGCATCTCATAAAGTGCTGTAGCCTGTGGTTTCCAAAACATAACATGTAACCAGGAACCAGAGTGAAAGGAGGGTAGATAGGGCAGCAGGGGCAAGACCACAGAGGGTCTTCCAAGGCATAAAATGCTACAGGGCTTTGACTTTATCCAAAGTCTCAGAAACACTACAGAGGGTCCGTGTGCTTCGGAACTGACTTGATGGCAGCTGGGTTGGTTTGGTTTGGTGTTTTGGCTTATAGATGATGAGAGCGAACATAGATGGTGGGAGGTGGGAGTGAAAGCATCAGATCTGTCTTCTAGAGAATATTATGTGCTCACAGGTGAAAGACAGATTGGAGGTGGAAGGAAAGACTGGAGCCAGGGAACAGGACGGAAGTGGCTTGGGTTAAACATTCCCTTCCATTTTCTTTGGGCAGGATAGCCACAAAGACCACTGCAATGAGCCAGTTGTTTCTGCAGTGACCCCACTTTTTCTGCCTCATATAGCCATGCCCTTAAATAGAAATATAGTTCTCTTTTATTTATATAATCTTTGAATAGCTTCCAACTTTCCAGAGGCTCCAACTTTGGGCACATATCTATGAGATTAATAATAACAATATAAAGATGGGATAGAAATTCTTGCCAATGTTTAACATTTTTTTCCACGTTTAGTCCTAAATGAGCACACAAGTCTGTGTTTTCCTTAAGCCTCTGCATGTTGGCCCTGCAGTGCAGCAAGCCTGAAGCTATATGGACAGCAGTCAAACAATCTTCTTATACTCACTGTGAGTGCCGAGCAGTCAGAGACGTTCAGCTCTTGCAGATTTCTACAGTGACCTAAACCAAACAAGTTACACATCACTAAACAACATATTAAACCGCAAGTTTAAACATGTGATGGATTCACTAGAAATCAAACAAAAACCTTGGCAAGTGATTTGTTCTACACACATGGCTTCTTTTCCCAGAAAAGGGGTTTCTTTTGGCCCAAAAATTAAAATATGCATACATAAACATTTATTATTGTTTGAAGATTATAGGAGGCTGAGGAAAAGAAAAATTATTACTTTTTGAAAAACCGTATATACTAACAGTTTTTAGCTTGGAAAAACTTGAAGAAAACCACCTTTTTTTTTTTTTAGTAGTATGCTTCTTTGTTCATTTTTTGTTTGTTTTTTGCGATTTCAACATTGTGAAAAATTTCAAACAAATACACAAAAAAAGTTGAAAGGCTTATACAACAAAAACCCATATACCCTATACCTGGAGGCTATAATTTACATTTTACTAAATTTATCTTACCACACATCCACCCATCTAAGTATTTTGCTATCTTTCCATCAAGACATCTTATATATTTATGAATTTCAAGGTACGTTGCGGACACCAGCAGGTTTCTGCTAAATACTCACATAACTCGTAGAGTTCAATATTTTTAAAATGACTTTTTAGGTTAGAATTGCATACAATTTATATACCAAGAAATGCAAATAGAGAAAGGCAGTAGGGGCTGGAAAGACGATGTGACTAAACAGCCCGAGGACCAGAGGCAAGTGCAAAGCACGGGTTGGAACCTGGTGTCCAAACCTAAGAGTGACTGCATAGCTTCTAGTCTCTCAGGGGCTACAAGACATGTATACAATGAGCTAGACGGCACAGCATTCCACAGCCCTGGGTCTGGCTGAAAGGAAGTACAACTCCAAATCCAAAACAGCAGAACCATTGTTAGAGGAGGACGCACAAACCTATGAATAGGAGGAATTCTTGAGACATCGAAGGGGGGCAGCATTGTAGGTGGAGCTACAGGAAGACTCCAGGCCAGAGGTGATCCTAGCATTCAGACGGCTACAATGAAGAGACAAAACATCTGCTGCTTATAACCACACAGCCCCACGCGAATAACAACAGAAATGTTACTCGTTATGAATCCATATTGAGCATTTCTTCTTTTGCCAAGAGTGGACTATGTCCTAAATAATAAATTCAAACCAGAAATACTTTTGGCATTAAAAAACATAATTCTTAAGAATGTGTTAGTCTTAGATGTCATCAGTACAGAAAAAAACAAACCAGAAAAAGGATACCAAAACAATAGAAGTCTTTGAGGTAGATTTTCTGACTGAAGAGCTACTTATGAGTAATTTACACAATCACCAACCCCACACATATTCATTGAGAACCTACTATGTTCTCATAGTAACATAGCGAACAAAATATGGCAAGTGCAGGGCCCTGGGGGGGCACTGTTTACAGCGCTTGGCCGCTAATCCACAAGGTCGTGTTTGAACTCACCAGCAGCTCTACAGGAGAAAGAGGAGGGCAGTGTCCTTCATAAAGATCGATCACCTTGGAAACCCCACTGGGCCAAATCCAAAACCCCATCCACTGCCATGGGTCGATTCCAACTCACAGTGACCCAATAGAGGATTCCGAGGCTACAGATCTTCACAAAAGCAGGTAGCCTCAGTTCTCTCCCCTGGAGCAGCCCAACCTGCCGGCCAGCACTTACTCACCGGCACCACCAGGGCTCCGGCTGTTCTACTCCGGCTTACAGGGTTGCCATGAGTCAGGATCACCGCAAGGGCAGCAGACTTGATTTGGGGGGTGTATTCCAGTTGGAGGAGACTGATGACAGTAATCACAAGAAGGAACAACCAGCTACTTGGACAGAGAGCAGTAAAGGATATGGAGAAAAATCAACCCGGAAAAGGGGGTGCATTGGAGAGGCTGTGGTTTTACACAGGGTGGTCTGAGAAGGTGGAATAAAGCCAAGGCTCACAGGACAGGACAAGGACAGTGCAGGTCACACCGGCCACTTCTGGAGGCCACGGTCAGAGGGGCTGCTGCTTGGAAAACAGGAAAGGGAAGGAAAGGCCGGCTCGGGAGAACGGGCATATGAATCTGACATTGCTTGCTCATCTTAAGGCTGGGAGGAACCCCGCCATTAGTTCAGGTGACAGACGACAGGTTTCACTTTCCTAATGATGAGCCACTCTGACATCTGTGGTGGACACAAGATCAGACCCTGTCAAGGGCCTTGCAGGAATCAGCTTGGTGTCTTCCTTCCAACCAACACGACAAGGTGTCCTTAGCCCCATTTTACAGATGCCAGTGACGAGGCTAAATCACTAGCCTGGGGTGGCACAGTTAGCAGGTAGGAGAGCCCGAGTTCAAAGTCAGGGCCGTGCCATGAGCCAAGTCAGAGGGTGCAGCCTTCTTAACCACTTCTGTAGAAATCCTTGCGTCTGGAGTGCCTTTGCTTAAAAACAACACTGTGTTTGCTTCGCAACTTATCAGTCTTTTTCTCTTCCAACCCAGGAACTCCACGTCCCCCAGCTGGGTCTCCTTGTTCCTGAACTGCATTAGTTAAGATTGCTAACACTTGGACTTGGATACTTTCATTGCTCCATCTGTCACGCCTAGTAATTGGGGCCAGCTGGATGTCAGGATGCGCGTGGTTACCATAGTAATCCTGCTCTTCTTTTGCAAAGCCGCGGAGCTCCGCAGGGCAGGCCCCGGAGGCGGAGGCCCGCGAAGCCGAGCGCAGCATGGCAAGGCCCGGGGGCGACCGCGGGGCTCCAGCCCGGTCAAACGCTATGCGCCAGGCCTGCCCTGTGAAGTGTACACTTATCTCCACGAGAAGTACTTGGATTGTCAGGAAAGAAAACTCGTTTATCTGCTGCCCGACTGGCCCCAGGATTTGCTGCACATGCTGTTAGCAAGAAACAAGATCCGCATCTTGAAGAACAACATGTTTTCCAAGTTTAAGAAGCTGAAAAGCCTGGACCTGCAGCAGAATGAGATTTCCAAAATCGAGAGCGAGGCTTTCTTTGGGTTGAGCAAGCTCACCACCCTCTTACTGCAGCACAACCAAATCCAGGTTTTGACGGAGGAGGCCTTCCTTTACACGCCTCTCCTGAGCTACCTGCGCCTGTATGACAACCCCTGGCGGTGTACCTGCGAGCTGGAAACGCTGGTCTCCATGCTGCAGATCCCACGGAACCGGAACCTGGGGAACTACGCCAAGTGCGCAAGCCCTCACGAACTGCGAAACACAAAACTGCGGCAGGTGCAGTCCGACCAGTTATGTCAAGAGGACGAAAGGGGAATCCTGGACCCGAGACCTCAGGTGTCGGGGAGAGCCCCGGTCATCAAGCCAGAGATAGACTCTACGCGTTGCCACAATTATGTGTTTCCCATACAAACACTGGACTGCAAAAGGAAAGGTTTGTACTAAGTTCCTGTCTCTCTATCTCTCTGTCTCACTCTCTTCAACCCACTCCACTCCAAAAATGCTCTTCTGACTCTTTCTATAACACACCATGCCTCAGACTTTCTGGGGTCACTTCCATCAGAAATCTTCCCCCACTCACAATGGGATGTGCTGCAAGCCTTTCTGGAGTCCAAACTCAACAGGGTTGGTGACTGGTGGAGAGTAGGGGTGAGGCAAACTTTTGGATGCTACTCAGATTCGCTCATCTCAAACCACAGCTCTAAGTCACTCCTTTCATTTCTTAAGTCTGATGTAATTTAATTTATGAGATCCAATGTGTATGAAACCAAGTGCCAGAGTGTGCCGTGGGGCAAATTCCAGTGATAGTCACCTTCCAATGAAAGTCAGAACATCACTACAGTCTCAAGGGACAATGTAATAACTGACGTAGTTCACCAAGATAATGTTCTATATAATACTTTGGTGAGTAGCTTTGGTGAGTAGCATCTGGGTCTTAAAAGCTTCTGAACGGCCATCTAAGGAACAACTATTAGTCTCTATCCCCACGGAGCAAATGAGAATGAAGGAAATCAAAGGCTCAAAGAAGGAAGTGGTCCACCAGACCAGTAACCCACAAAACCACAGCCACCTCTCCTAAACTGAGACCAAAAGCTCTCGGTGGCTCCCAGCTACCACGACCAGCCAGTCTGACTAGGGACACACTAGAAGGTCCTGGATGGAATGGAAGAACAGAATCAAATTCCTAAAATTAAAAAAAAAGGAGGGGGGAGCGGTCTAGACCTACTGAACCAATAGACTAGAGGAACCCTCAAGACTATTGCCCCAAGGTAACCTATGAACATGGAATTGGAGCTATTTTTGTTCACCACCTTCCAGTCAAATAGGAGATTGGCCTGTACATAACCAGTACCACCCATCAGTAAGCAATGAACTTTGGGAGACCCAACCGTCAACCTTTACCCAAAAGGAAAGGAAAGAGGCAAGGAGGACGGGGAAGCAAACCGAGATCAATGGAAATAAAGCCAAGAGAATGGGAAAAGGAGAATGCAGCCCCGCGGCAAAAATTGTACCCAAGAGCACAGAATCATTTCTATAAAAATTATTAGGGGGGAATGTGATTTGCTTTGTCAACTTTTACCCCAAACACTATAAAATATCTTTAAATAATAACAATGGGATGGCAGCTAACAACATCATTCCAATTAAGCTCAAAACATGATGTGCCGCTGAGGGCACATGACAACTTCAAGGAAAGCCATCTGCTACGCAGGGCAGGTGTGAACACCCTGAGATGGACGCCAAATGGATGAAAGCATTGTCCTTTCTGTAATGTCACCTGGTTTTAGCAAACACCGATAACTTCCTGTTTCTTTAATAGCTCCCCAAATTATCCAAAGTAAAACATAAAAATATTTAAAGGTCCAAACTGAAATCAATCCAAGAACTATCTAAGAAAATCTTTCTAAAATATTACCTTCTTCCTGAATATCATTTCTGGTTTTTATATCCCACACAAACTTGTGCTAGTGATAGGCAGGATTTGCACATGCAGGATAAATCCTAGATACATTCATGAAATAAGGCAACAGATGGAAGATTTTAATAATGCTTTTGACATTTTAATTGAAGATTGATGTTCTCAGAGAGTGGTCTAGGAACCACTAATTCACTCTAGGATAACAAACTACATCCCAGTGTCTAGATGTTTCCTTTCTGGTGGGGATGGGTAATTCATTGTAGTTGTGTATTACATCCAGACATCATTAGGGTAGGATCATATAAAGTGCACTTATTTAGGAAGGTTTTGTTTTGTTGTGTTTCTGTTAGGACAAATTAAAGGTTAAAGGGGCCTGTCAAGGAGCTATGGGAAGGAAATTGTTGTGAAGAACCAGGAGTAAATTTGGTCATTTGTCAGCAAAGACGTGCTCATCTGGGTCTAATTCTGTCTGTAAGAGGTGGTGCCTGGTCAGATCACACCCACCCATGTCCCATAGGAGTCTGCTTACTCCAGTACCTTGTGAACAGAGTGCAGCTTGCTAACCATAAATGGAGTCGTTACAATGCCCTAACCTGGAGAGAATGCTGTTCTGACTGTCCCTGAATTTGAGAGAAAGTGCTCATCAACTGAGAACCTACTAAGGCCCAGGTAGTCTACATATAGGCTGTCCATAACCTCTGGGCAGCCAGAGGTGAAGAAAATGATGCTTGGGGAAGGCTCAATCACTTGGCTGAGGTCTCACAGGTGAGTTGCAAAACTAAAATTTGAATCCTGGTCTACCTAAGCCAGACCCCATTCCTCTGTCCTCCAGAATTCATTTGATCACAAACAAGCAGCTACTTCAACCATTTACACATTAGAGAATTCCAGAGAGTCAGTATGTGGTTTCGCTGTGGTCAGACGAGGTCAAATTTCCCTAAAATTGTATCATACTAAAGAGGATGTTCTGCTAGGATTTCCTTTGGGATGCTTAGATTTAAGACTTTAATTATATGTGTCTAAAAGTAACACAAAGCTGCTGTCTTCAGCATGGGTTACAAAAATTACTTGACAAGTTCCTCTCAAAGCTAGTGATTACGTAAGTCTGGGCCTATACTAGTTAATATCAATGGATTCTACTGTGATTGATATAAATTTATTGATATTGAGGAATTTGCTTAGTTTTCATTCTTTTGCTATCTTTTTTCATTTCTCTAAGTTTAAAGGCAAAGATCTTGTCTATTAAAATTCATTTCGTAGTGTGTGCCTAGGGCCACATACTTTAGCCTGATCATAAGTGTTCTGTCTGTCTTTGCTCTAGCAAAACAGTAATTTATGCAACTTTAAAATATAGTCTGGAACATAAAAAATATGTAGAAGTTAAAAATCATGGCTCATATTCAAGTATAACCGCCTGATTCTAATCCACTTATTTTCCTTGTTCTAGTCCAGCAGTTCTCAACCTGTGGGTGGCGACCCCTTTGGGTGACGAACGACCCTTTCACAGGGGTCACCTAAGACCATCGGAAAACACAAATATTTCACAATATATAATTACATATTTAAAAAAAATAAATAATAATTACGTATTTTTTGTGATTAGTCACTATGCTTTAATTATGTTTTATTATGTTCAATTTGTACCAATGAAAATACATCCTGCATATCATATATTTACATGATGATTTATCACAGTAGCAAAATTATAGTTATGAAGTAGCAAGGAAAATAATTTTCTGGTTGGGGGGTCACCACAACATGAGGAACTGTATGAAAGGGTCACGGCATTAGGAAGGTTGAGAACCACTCTTCTAGTCTATATGTGGGCAACAGATGCCAACTACTAAGAACAAATGTCAGCAATGTGTATCTTTACCCTCCCGCTAGGAACGTGGCAGTACTTTTGAAGGTTGTACCCCAGGGTTTAGACACTATGTAGAATCTAAAGAAGTCTAATGCATGCCATCAAGACGGGAACTAGCAATGATATTAATGAAGAAGAGTTAACATCTAAACGCTCTGTGCACTAGAAACACAGCCATGTGCATGCATTTCAAGCGAGTCATTTAACCCTCACAATGCTGAGGTGCAGTGAGTCACTTAAAGTAGGTCTTCTAGCCATAGTGGTAGTAACTCCCACCAAATGACCAGGAGCGGGGGGATATGCAAATGAGGTGTGTGCAGCACACCAAGGGGAAAGCTTACTAATCACATAAATAAGGGACAAGGATAATAATACAAATAAGGTGTATGCAACCCCAATAAGGGGATTGGTCAATTTAGCTCTCCCGGGCTTAAAGGGAGATACCAAAAGCTGGGGGCTCGGGGTTGTAACTCAGAAGACAATGAGAGATGGCGGCACAGCAGTAGCAGGAAGAACAGCAGCGTGAGATGGCAGGATCCAGGAGCTTGGGGCAAGGCAGCTGCTGCGGGAGTTAAGATTGCTGCCCTTGCCTCAGAAGGGACCAGCAGCAGCAGAGGAGAAGAAGCAGTCCTTCTTGATCAGCTCTGTCTTCAGTGGGTTCTGCTACTTGTGAATTAAGCCCGATTCGGAGTTGTCCTCTGTCATTTCTGTAATAAATCACGGAGCTACAAATGCAGGTCGTGAGTTCTGTGAGAGAGTCCAGTGAATGATGAACCCAGAGACGAGAAGGAGCATGCTGAGGGGGGAGTGGGTTTGTTGATGGGGTAGCGATGATGGAATGGTAGGGCAGTTGGGAAAGGTCAAACATTTGGGACATCATTAACCTCTGCCACATGGAAGGCAGCTATGTGCTGATCCGGATTAAAGAAATGGGTGGTTTACTAGCCTAACCAAACCCACTGTTGTCAAGTGGGTTCTGACTCAGTGATCCCTTGGGGCAGAGGAGAACGGTAGTCAGTAATCCAAATCCCAAAGTCTACTGCCATCATTGCCTGCAAGATTCGGAGTGCATTTATGTACCAGAAAGAATGGATAAAAAGCCTCTGTGTGCCCCCTCCCAGAATGAAATCCTCCCTTAGGGTTTGCACACGCACCCCGAGGACAGGGTCCCACCTAAGAACCACAAACGGATTTCCTTCTCGGAAGTGGAGCCTTTCTCCCCGCTCCCTGGGATGAGGCAGATGGGAGGTGCAGGGTCCTTCAGGTGTGGCACCGGAGACTGCAGAGGCCTCAGAAACCACTGAGGCCGGCCCTCACCATCTGACTGCAAGAAAAGGCAAGAAGGGGTTTATACACAGAGAGACAGACGCATGGCCAACGACACTTAGTCTATCAACGACACAAGGGAACCGGTGTGGGACTAGTTGAAAGGCAATGTTCAGGCCCATCTTGGGGTGAATGGATTTGCCAAAAGCACATGAAAAGAAGATTTTTGAACTCCGCATTTCCGAGAATAACATTCCAGTTTGAGCAGTCATTGGATTTCTAAGATGAGGGCTGAGGAGAATGAAGCAGGTACATTGCTCCCAGCTGCCTGTGAAGTTAAGGGCACAATGTTTACCCATGGCCTGAACAATACCATATTTTCCTT